CGACCCTTTAACGGTCGGCGTAAACTCATTTGCTTCAGCCATCCAATACAACACACCCTTGGTCTCCGAGAATCTCTCATGCATGTACACAAATGCCCAAGGTCTACTCAGCAAATTAGCTGAATTAAGACTTCGACACGCGTCTATAGTTTGAGACCTCATCGCTGTCACCGAGACGTAGTTGCGCTGCGAGATAACGGATGCTGAAATTGCACTAACTGGCATGTCCGTTGTCCGGAAGGATCGAGCCAGCAAAGGTGGTGTGGTAGCCCTTTATTTTCGTAACAACGTGCAATGTGAACGCATAAAAGATTCGAAAACGGACGTACCTGACGCCATTTGGTGTAATTTTCGGTTAAGTGGGAACGACCTTGGCCTATTGGTCGTTGTTTACCACCCACCTTCGTCTACTCCTGAGATGCACTGCAATTTGCTGACTGCGATGAGGCCAGTTATAAACAGGAAGTACAGTAACATTCTAGTCACTGGTGACTTCAACTTATATGCCCTCGAATCCTAGGCCACACCAGGAGAGAAATTCAAGGCAGATTTGCAAGATCTGGTTTCAGACTTCACGCTTTATTGCCACGTCACTACGCCCTCCAAATTCAGGGGACTGCCAGGCTTTCCAGGTTTGACGGAATATTAATCAATGAAGATATAATGGTTGAGAGAGTGATACCCGATGCTCCTTTGGGCAGCAGTGATCATACGACGCTATTGTTTCATTACATGTGCTACGCGGGTTATCCTAAAGAGCACGCCGAAGAATATCTTGTCTTAACGAATTATGAAGACCTGTTCGACCTCAGTAATGCAACCAGCTGGTCGTTCTTAGCTGAGTTAACCCCTGAGTTGGCCTGCGGTGAATTCGTCAACATATTTACTAAGCTCCTGGCAAGGACATCTGGAACCAAACTCCATCGGCCTAAAAGGATGAAGTCTTTCGTAAGGAGCAGGACACCTAAATGCATGGCATTAAGGGACTTGGCATAGCACACTTATATAGCCTCCCCAAACGACCATACCTTGGATGGCTACACAATGAAAAGAAACCACTGTGTCAAACTCGTTCGGGAGAATAAACTTAAGAACCAACAAGGTCTAGTGGAAATGTTTCGCTTCAATCCCAAACTGCTATACAGACACGTAAACAATTTGCGCCGTGTTAAGCGCGGTATTCCTGCTCTGCGCACAGCATGCGGTTAGCCCAAACCGCACAAGAGGCGGCCAACGTCCTTGGACAACAAGTTGGTCCTACCTTCTAAAGCGCGCAATCATCATACATCCTGCCTAAGCAGATAACGCCGCCATCAGGGCTTAGTGACATATCGTTCACATCCGCAGCTGTACTGAACAGGCTGATGACACTGCACGAGTTCAGCGCCCCGGGTGCGGACTGCATCCGTCCAAGGGCGTTGAAAGCTGCTGCCATGCGTTTGCCAGGACAACTAGCAATTTTCTTTCAACGATGTCTTAACGAGATGCACGTCCCCACGATGTGGAAGCACGGAATCCTCAAGCCTATCTACAAAAGTGGTAGCCGTGCAGAATCGATAAATTATCGCTTGATCACACTACCTCCTGTGATTTCCAAGGTTATAGTCCATCGTAGCTGGGCTTTAATGCAGTACCTGGAGAATAACAAAATTCTCGTTCTGGAACAGTATGGTTTTCGCCAAAATCGCTCCTGTCCAACTAATCTCTTGATTTCTCGTGCAAACTGGACGGAATCTATGGACGCTGGTGTAGAAGTCGACGCGGCCTACCTGGATGCTCAAAGGCATTCGACCGTCTAGACCATCGCATTCTCCTCCACAAACTCCAGAAATATGGAATCGGTGATCCTGTTCTCGGCTGGATAGGAGACTTTCTCGGGCAACGTCACCTGATTATGAGGGTTAGAAGCAACCTATCGGAATCCATCGAAGTTCAGTGTGGAGAACGTTAAGGCTCGGTACTTGGACCCCGCCTGATCCTGGTTTTCATAAATGATCTCGCGAGTGTGCTATCTTCTAACTGTTTGTTATTTGCTAATGACCTAATGGTATGGCGCACTATAGCTGCAGTGGAGGATCACACCTTCTTACAGTTGGATCTGGACAAAGCGTACACATGGTCCATCGAGCGCATGCTGCATTTCAACGTCACCAAGTGCAAAGTTCTCAGCATACGACACAAGAGTATGCACAACTACCGCCTAGGACCACAAATTCTACAGCGGGCTTCTCAGGAGTGCGATCTTGGTGTGATAGTTAAAGATGACCTCGGTTGTTCGAGGCAGACTGAAAAGGCAGCTAAGAAAGCAAACCAGTAACTCGGCCATCTTCGCAGAGCCTTCGCGAAGTTTGACCCTTCGCTTTCAAAAATGCTTAGTGCTTACGTAAGGCTGCACGCGGAATACGCTATCTAAGCGTGGCAACCCTGGCTCAAGCACCATCTCACCGCGCTCGATATGCACAACATAGGGCAACGAAGAGTGTCAGAGGTTTGATTAGCCTCCCCTACCCACACAGGCTGAAGACCCTCAAAATATACAGTGGACGTTAGCGGCGTCTAAGGGGCGATCACATAATGGTGTACCTAATCCTGAGAGACCCCAACCACCTATGCTATTCCCTTCTAATACTCAGTCAACACACCTCGCTAAGCGGACACCAGTTTAAGTTAGTCGCGCAGTACAGTCGCCTGCAATGTCGGCGAAACCATTTCTCCCTTCGAGTGGCGCAGCCAGGGAACGCCCTCCCGGAACATGTAATTAATGCACCCACCCTATCCCTTTTCAAAAGACGCCTTGACAACACCTGTCGCATTTACACTACGTGCTATAGCTCATGACTACCAGCTGCTGGGACTAATGCACAACAGACAGGGGATAGGGCCATAACCCTACTCGAGAATGAGTCACCCCAAAAGCCTTGCACGAAGTTTGCTAAACGCCGCTCCCATAGAAACTGGATTTCTGTATCCTGTCGACCTATGATATTTTCACACGAGTAAGCGTTGTCCTTACTATCTTTTTTATTTTTCTCGCCTATGATGTGGACAATAACCCCTTCCCTGTTGCTTTGTGTGCGTACATTCTCATTTCATACTCCCTTTATACGACAGTGCGGTTACATCTGTAAGCGCCCAAACTGAAGCCTCCATTATCCCTTTGCTATCTTTTTTTGTCACGCTAAATACCCTACGGAACATTTCAAGCACCTGCATTTTTACCCGTTATAAATCATTGCTCATTACTTGTTGAGCTTTTTGAGGAATGGAAAAGTGGCCATTGCAGAGGAGATGTCATATGGTTTGAGATACCGGTTGGTCCTTTTGGGTACTCTATCCAATAGTTCCTACTATTTCTAAACGCAGGCTGTTGACCAACGTGTCAATGGGAGAAACAAAGTCAGTTAAAACTAATTAGGGTGCCTAAATGCACCTTGTACTCCGAGATATAGTCTTAGCACCTGTCAGATGCGTGCGACTGACCCGGCTGGGATTTCTTATGTGTCGTGACCGTAACTGCGATACATGTGAGTGACCAGTGAGCGGAAGGTGCGTATATGTCCCGAAGCTATATGGGTTGTAATATAAAGCAGGACTAGAGCAGACTGAGTCCTCTTCTATGTTCTAGTTAGACAAGACCCAAGGCGATGATCGCCCTAACAGCCGAAGTTGTAACGGCGTCTAATAGTATATAGGCACATAAGGGTTATACCTCCTTGAAAGCCTGATGATTGCAAATCACTTGTAAGCGTGGTGGTAGTTGATTCCAGTTATTTACGTTAGCAACTGGGAGGGCGTGTTAAGTTAGTTTCTTCCTCGCTCGCAGCCGACAGAGTAGTGCTTGTTTCAGCGGTTAAATTCTCACCCTGTACTTAGTGGCAGGCTAGAATTGGTACTGTGCCCCGCTTGATTGTTACATTATGTAAGAAGCATAGGCGTCTCACGCAAGGCGTCTAAATCATAAAATCTGGTGTTTAAGCTGACCAGACCTCTGCAGGTAACTAAGCGTTAGTTTTGTGAGCTAGAATTTTGGTAAACTTCAACTGAGCCTTTCCGAACAGTAAATGATCTAACGTTCACAAATTCTTGAAGACGTAGATGTAATACTCTAGGTGTGGATGAACATTAATCCGATAAAGCTCCAGTCGTGCATAGGCTGTTCTTATGTAGCGAGCGTTGTGGGGGATGATTGTCGTGCTTTTGCAACTGGACATTGCAAATATGCCGAAAATATAGGGCTAATAGGTAACCATATACCTAAATCTCTTACCATAGTATTGAGTTGGATGGATATGCCATTTAACTTAAAGGTGTCATTTAGTATGGAACATCTGTGGGTCGGGTTACTCGTGTTATAAGCGGAAACGGTTATTTGCCACTACTGACAACCTGATTCTATAGACTTCAGGTCTTCGTTACCGCAGCAAATCAGGGTATTTTGGCTCTTGGAGGCAAGACTCATCCGATCTTTATTTGGACATCAAAGGTGATGGGGTGGTCATGGCTTGGGCTATTACAGATAACCGTCACATAAATCAGAAACATTAACTGGTCAAGCATGCACCTTTGTAAGCCATGTAGTCATTATTAATCTTTCACATTTTGTCTTTCCTGTCATCAATTTTCTAGCTATATCTTCTGTGCAGTTTGTTTGAATTAATGATTACAATACACTTCTTCGCGCCCCGCATTCCGTCGTGTTGATTTTTGGCTGTGCTGCTTCTGCTTGCAAACGGTGCCGTCCAGTCTGCTTTCAAATCAGATAGTGTATCTGGAATTACTATCGAACGTCTATTTCCATTGTGCTCTGCGTGTGCCACAGGTATAGCGCGACCTACGACTCGAACACAACTGTGAGTAGACTGTGAGTTGACCTTCTCCAACTTTTTGCCTTTTAATAAGGGGTTGCAACCTTCCTAGTATTTTTTGACCACTACATAAATTGGTGACCTCGCCTTATTTTTTGAACACGTATTTTTCTTAGTCATGTCTGACCACACCCCATGTGTTTTTACGGACAATTCCGTCGAAATTTTGCTTCCCTTTTTGACATTTCTAATCCACGTGTGTGGTTTATTCAGGCAGAAGCTACTTTTCGATGTCGTAAGATCACCCCACAAGCTTCCATGTTTTCTTACGTCGTCTCGCGCTCACCTGACTCCATTGCATCTGAAGTCATTGATATTCTTGATCATATGCCTGTTGAAGCGCCGTCTGATAAACTTAAAGCAGCTATCCTTAAACGCACAACTACGTCTGATGAAGCTCGTCTCCAACAGTTACTTTCCGGCGTCGAGCTTGACGACCACACCCCATCTCAGCTTCTAAGACACATGCGTTTCCTAGTTGGTTCGTCGAAACTCGACGACTCCATACTCCGCCAAATTTGGACCAAATGTCTTCCGGCAAACATCACAGCGATATTATCAGTTCTTAGCGACGATATCACGCTAGAGAAGCTCGCAGAAGCTGCTGACAAAACGCAGGAATGTTTCTTTAAGAGCACTCTTACTCATCTAGCTGAGTCCACCACAACCAGCTCATCCCCTAGCACTACGCTTGATTCGATAAACGATAGAATATCCCGTCTAGAACTCAGCAGGTCTGCTATTCGACGTGAACGCACTCCTAACCGAAGAAGTCCTTGTGATCCGCACCGCGGCACATCACGCTCACGTCATCGGTCGTACTGTTATTTCCACCGTCGCTTTGATAAAGCAGCACGTAACTGTCGTCCGGGATGCAAATATTCGAATGGAACACCGAGTTCGCAACCGGGAAACGACAAAGCCAGCCAGTAATGGCGACGGCTGTCGCTGGCCAAACCCTCAGTCGCCTTCTGTACGTGTTCGACTCCACGACTAAACTTCATGTTTTGGTCGATACGTGCGCAGAAATCAGCGTTATACCACGTTCGTTGGAAAAACGCTTTCTGCAACAAGCCGGACTTACGTTACCGGCGGCTAACCAGACTAAGATCGCGACCTACGGCCAAAAGCTGTTACGCCTAAGCCTTGGTTTACGACGTGACTTTCCCTTTTTCTTTACCATCACAGATGTCCAGAAACCCATACTTGGCATCGACTTCCTTAGCAAACTCGGCCTCGTTGTCGACCTACGTTGCAGGAAGCTACGGGACGACAGCACTTCGCTCACTGTCCCTTGCCATCTCGCCCCAGCCACTACCGTCGGACTTCGCGTCCTCATGCCAGACACTACGCCGTATTCATCATTGCTTCAGCAATTCCCGTCTTTGGTCCGTTCTAATACCGACTCTACCGAGCCTAAACACGAGGTTCGTCACCATATCGTCACCACAGGTCCACCCGTGTCAGCCAAACCGAGACGTCTTCCACCTGACAAGCTCCAAGCGGCTAAACGCGAATTCGAGCACATGCTCAACCTCGGAATCATTCGTCCGTCCAACGGTTGTTGGGCTTCCCCGCTTCATCTTGTATCCAAATAGTCCGATGATTGGCGTCCATGCGGTGATTACCGGGCATTCAACGCCGTTACTATCCCCGACCGATATCCTTTCCCCCATATTCATGATTTTTCCTTGGGCTAGTCCGAGAAATCCGTTTTTTCCAAGATTGACCTTGTGCGAGCGTACCATCAAATCCCGATGGCATCTGAGGACATTGCTAAAACGGCAGTTATCACACCTTTCAGTTTATACCAGTTCATTCGTACGCCTTTTCGTCTTTGCAATGCGGCACAGTCCTTCCAGCGCTACATAAACCAGGTCCTCCGTGGTCTAGACTTTGTTTTTGTCTATATCGACGATGTTCTAATAGCCAGCGCCACGCCAGAAGAGCACGTGAATCACCTTCGACAAGTATTCGAACGCTTCGGTCATCACGGGATAACCATTAATCCCGATAAATGCCTATTTGGTCAATCGCCCGTCGATTTTCTTGGTCACAAAATCGAAAACAAAGGCATTAGTCCCATCCCAGTGAAAACACAGGCAATCATGGACTATCCTCTACCTCAATCTGTTAAAATCCTGCGCCGATTCCTTGGCATGGTTAATTATTACGGAAGATTCATTGACAATTGTGCTGCTGTTCTTCAGCCTTTGACTGATTTACTTAAAGGTAATCCAAAGACTTTCATCATTACGCCAGAAGCCGAAACAGCGTTGTTGCCATCAAGCAGCAGTTAAGCCAGATAACTTCCCTGAGCTACTTGGACGCCGACGAGAAAGCTACTCTTGTCCTCAAGACTGATGCTTCACAATCCGCTGTCGGTGCTATACTAAAACAACTAATCGGCAATGAGATACAGCCGTTGTCTTTCTTTTCTTGGAAGCTACAACCAGCACAAACGAGATATAGTACTTGCGGTCGCGAACTTCTCGCGATGTATTTGGCCGTCAAACACTTTCGTCACGTCCTTGAAGGACGACGTTTTTAATTCTGACGGACCACAAGCCTTTGGTCTACGCTTTTCGCGCCGCTTCCGACCGCTATTCTCCGAGAGAGACACGGCATCTGGATTACCTCTCACAGTTCTGTGTCGACATTCGCTACCTTGATGGTCCAAATAATGTTGTCGCTGATGCACTTTCACGTGCTCACCTAAATCAACTGTCGTCCTCTCCAATAGACCTTGAGGAAATGTCTGTTGCCCAGAAAAACGATCCTGAACTCGTTCAGCTTCGATCGAATACCACATTGAAATTCTTGCAATAACCAATTTTAAACTCAGACGCAAGGAATCTCTGAGATGTCTCTACAGGAAAGCCAAGTCCGTTTGTTCCACAGTCTTTCCGGCGAACCGTCTTTGACCATTTTCATGGACTAGCGCATCTTAGCTTTCCATCTACTGTGAAGTTGATTACTGATCGTTTCATCTGGCCTAGTATGCGCTCTGATATCCGCCAATGGGCTAAACACTGTCTCAGCTGCCAGAGCAGCAAAGTACACAGACACACTATTTCTGCTCCCGGAACATTCTCACTACCTGAGGCACGTTATAGATATGTCCACCTAGACATAGTCGGACCGCTTCCTCCATCGAACAATTTCACTTTCATTTTGACTTGTGTTGACCGTTTTACTTGTTGGCCGCACGCCATTCCTTTACGTGACATATCTTCAGAATTTGTTGCCCGTGCATTTTTTGATTCATGGATTTCCTTTTTCGGTGTACCATCTACGATCACTACAGATCGAGGATCTCAGTTTAGTTCCACCTTGTTCCGTGACTTGAATGGTCTGTTGGGTTCTACCCACATTCGAACAACTGCTTATCATCACGCTTCGAATGGCCTTGTCGAGCGTTTCCATCGACAGCTTAAAGCCGCCATTACAGCTAATTCACCTCATCTACATTGGTCTGAACGCACCTCAGCTGTCCACCTTGGTTTCCGTAATACCGTCAAAGAGGATAATGGATGCAGCCCTGCCGAAATCGTCTTTGGCACTACTCTCAGACTTCCAGGTAAGATGCTTTTGGATTCCCCAGTCACTGGTGAGATAGATCCTGTGTCTTACGCCGAACGTCTCAAAAAACCCTTCCGAACAATTCGACCTACGTCTACTCGCTTCACTGCCCGCGAACAACGAGTTCATCCGGACTTACACACATGTCCTTTTGTTTTCATTCGCATTGATGCAGTTCGCAAGCCGTTGACACCCCCTTATGAAAGTCCTTTCAAAGTGTTGTCACGGAAACCTAAGTACTTCATACTGGAAAGGATAGATCGAAAGAATCTGTGAGTATTGACCGTTTTAAACCCACCTATGTTGAGCCTGCCGTTACTTTGACTGATCCCAAGTCGTTACCCTCTGTTGGTCAACCGACTGATTTCAATGCTCCAGAACCTTCATGCGCTCGCCCAACGAATGATCCCAAACACACACGTTCAGGACCATCTGTGTCTTTCCCTCAAAACTAGCTGACTTTGTTCCCTAGATAGCTATATCGAGCGTTACCTTACCAGTTCACGCGCTACGGGGGGAGTTATGTAGTAGTTATTAATCTTTCACATTTTGTCTTTCCTGTCATCAATTTTCTAGCTATATCTTTTGTACAGTTTGTTTGAATTAATGATTACAATACACTTCTTCGCGCCCCGCGTTCCGTCGTGTTGATTTTTGGCTGTGCTGCTTCTGCTTGCGTACGGTGCCGTCCAGTCTGCTTGCAAATCGGATAGTGTATCTGGAATTACTATCGAACGTCTATTTCCATTGTGCTCTGCGTGTGTCACAGGTATAGCGCGACCTACGACTCGAACTCAGCTGTGGTTAGACTGTGAGTTGACCTTCTCCAACTTTTTGCCTTTTAATAAGGGGTTGCAACCTTCCTAGTATTTGTTGACCACTACAGACACCAATGGAAACTGTGTTGGGTGGATTCAGTCTGCGCAAGCTTCACAAAACACATACGCCAGGTTAGTTAGGATTAAAGCTAGTTGAGTAGAAGGTCACGTACAGCACAAGCTTTAATTTCATGTTTTATGCGTATATGTGGGACCCTATCGAATTGCTTGTGCTAATCAAGGTACTAGGTAATTACTGACAGCTCCGAAGCAACCGCTCTAAAGGCAAACTTAAGGAAAGCAAGTTGGCAAATTGCGCAGGATCCTGCGCATAGGAATTCATGTTGTGACGCGCTAGCAGGTTTTCCGGCTTACAGAATGTCCATGAGCGCCTGCTTAGCCGACTTTTCCACCACTCCTGTGATGTTGGATGGGTGGTTTATATGTCGGTATATGTTAACTTCCCGTACGGAGCCAACATTTTGGCGCGGTGTGACCTTGGAGTGCTTCCAACCAGAAAGCCGCTGCCCCGCTTGCATGGTGAGTGTGAACCTTTTTAAGACAAATATTGGAAGGTCATCGTCCACATTCTTAATTCATTCGGTCAGTCCATGATGAACATAGGACTCAAAGTCCGCAGAGATTTTCGGTGTCTTTTTATGCTTGCTTATGTTATCAACACCATCATACAACGCATTCGCTTCAAGTGGAGCAAATGGCTGCCATTGTGCAGTAACACAAAGCCAAGAAAAGCATCCGTGGCACACCGACTGCGTTCCCAGTAACGGATGCACATCGTTCCGGAAAGTTAAAAGCCGGGTATCGTGCCGCAAAAGGAGTCATATTATGCTAACGGATAAGATCCTGGTTGGTGCTTGAGGCTAAACAGCAGGGGATGGCATAAGGAACCCACAAAATTAACACAATTATGGCCGGATCCTAGTTTTATCAGCAAATGTGCGCAATCCTCCGTGTTCATCGTCCTTTGGGCTTCAGCAGAGCAGTCGTGATATACCAACTATTGCCAAGTTTGAAGCTTATGTTTCTTTGGATCAAGTTATCATTTGGT